TACTCCTACTCCTACTCCTCCGACTAACTACTGCTACCACTAGGCCCTATCAGCCCTAGTCTAGGAGCATGAACAGTTGGAATATGGGCTGTGATAGTATGCAGTATAATCCTTCACTCCTCTGGATCGAATGGTGGGGCATCCGCATCGCCCATGTTGACCTCAGGCTCTTTTTCGCAGGCGTAAACCTTGGACCCTGGAAGCAGTCTAAAGAGACTGCCTTGGAACGCAAGGAGCTTGAAGCTTGAAATACAATACTAAAGCGGTTGAGTAGGTTGGACTTCGCCGCAACATCGAAAGAATGGACTCGAGGTGTTCAGGTGAAACCCTGCCTCTGCTGTTCTTTGCAAGACTTCGGCTCTGCGCTGTCAGCCATTCTTTGGGCGACCATGCTCGCGATGCACCAGCTTTCCAACGCTTGTAGTACGTGCGATGCTGGCGCTGATCATGCGGACAAAGAGGGGGAGGAGGACGTGGAGGAAGAGGAAGGAAAGGCACCATGGCGAGGATGGTTGTGATAATGACGGCAAGAGCAAAGAAAAAGAAGAGGAGGGCGACGACGAAGGGCAGGACGATAACGACGACGACGACGAGTGTGATGATGATCCTGGCGACCATGACGATGGTGATGCTCATGGTCATGAAAAACCAAAACTAACACTGTTGCAGTTTGAAAGGAGATGTTCAGATCAGCGCAACACACACTCTTTCGCGCAAGATGGCCGGCTGAGTCATGGTGTAGGGTTTAGGGGGCTAGGTGTACACCAGTTTGGGGTTGCGGGTTGTCGGGGTGGAGGTTAGCGCTTCTTGCGCGGGGACGACTCCGGCAATCAACGAACCTGGCAGCAAGAGGCCCTTTACAGCACGTACGGCCCTCTCGAATTTTACCCTCAGGGCTTCTCATCTGCTCATCCTTCCTTTTCCCCTGCAAAGCGCGGAGGTGTCACAGCAAGGCGCACCAGCCACTTTGGGCTTTGCGCTTTGGGGGTTTATGTTATGGAAGTGGGAAGATGTGCAGCAACTCGCCCGCCTGGTCGGGGCCTGAACCCTCGGATGGGATGAAGAAGGTGCTGACGGCCACTCGCTCGGAGGAGTTCAAAAAGGTAGTGAAGACCGGATTGGTGGTGGAGTTGGATGCCATGCGAATCGGTACCTCTACGAAGCCAAGCCCATCACCCAAAACGATCCTCCAAGTGTACCAGTTGTCCAGCTCACCCTGGGCTTTCATGGTACCCCTAAACCCTAAACCCAATAAACCCCAAACCCTGAACTGTATGAACCCTAAACCCTAAACCTAAACCCTGCCTGAGCTTCCATGATAAACCACCGCTCGTTGGCCCAGTAGAAGGAACTCCGTGACCCCAATTTTCCAGTGAAGCCGTCCTCCGGAAGCCAATCATTCACCTGGGATTTTCTTGGAGGCACTGTAGAAGCTCTTGGATTTGGTTTCTGCAATAGGATGACCATAATACAGAATATATGCTACACTGACTAACTATGCATGAAAAGTGCTCGCGAGAACGGCCGAGTCACCACTTTGAGCAGTTGCGCTTGCCACTGCCAGTCTTTACTCGAACCTCGAAGGAACCCGCGAAGCACTGCCACCGCCTGCAAGCGTGGAAGCTGCATGAACTCTGAGGGACGCATGTCGTTAAGGTTTGGAAGTTCTTGGGTCCTGGCTTTCGGGTTAAGGATTCCCGGTCAATGGACGGGTCCCTATCGCTCCTTTGGGACATTTTAGGCATTTTAGGCATTCTCAGAGAAGAGTGCATCCATACACAAGCTTTAAACTGGCGCTCGCTATCTACGATACCATGCAATGCGACTGTTCATGGGCGACAGGCCGCGATTCCTCACCGTAGCGTCATCAAAAAGTTCCCGTACAATGGCATGAGATGGCATGAGACACCAGTGTTCCTCATGTGGACAGCTATAGTCGTCACAGCTGCAACAGGCAAGATGCACAGGAATATCACTTTGTGCGCCATTTGTAGAGTTTTGGTGTTGCTGATGCTGCAAACTGAATGGCAAGACGGCACATCAAGATGAGCTCTGCTGAAGGTGGCGATGGGAAAGCGCCAGCGAACTTGATGGCGGCAAACACTTCTGGCATATCCTGGCTCACCCATGACGAAGAATATGCATGGGGCCATCTCCATGGCAAGAGCAATCTTTGCGGCAAAAGAACAACCGCAGGAGATCAGGGGATTCGGTTCCGCAGCTTGATAACGACTGCACCGGCGACAAACCTGACAGCGATGTCAATGGTACAGATCGTCCTGGTTCTTGAAGTCGATGGCAAGGTTAAACACGCAAGAGCAGCGGTGGAAGTGGGAGTCGTCATCTGGGTGTTGTTGATGCAGAAACGATACCAAGGCCGACGCGAGAATGCAGGGAAAGCGTAGTTCCGAGTGAACGTACGCGAGACGAACGTCGACGCTGCTCCGGGTCTGCTGACAACTGGCTGAAAAAACAGTGGATGCACGACGACGTGAACTTCACATTGGTTGATGCACGAGGACAAAGCAACAGACCGGACTTGACGGAAACGAAACACATACCCGGCCTGTTGGTCAACCTTCGTACCACCTTTACTTATGTAGCAGTGCATGCCGATGGTCAACTCATCTGCCGTCTCATCGATGACTGTGAGCGATGGTGTGCCCTCGGCACTCCCTCCTAAGGTCTGCTGGGACACAAACGTCTTCGGGTCGCTCTGCCCACTTAGGAAGTCTTTCAGGTTTTCGTAGTAGGACGCCGCGACCGAGGGCCCGCCAATGTTGTTCTGCTCGTAGAGGAGCAACACTCCGTCCCCAAGGAAGTAAAACTGCCCCATGGAGGCATTTGTCCCAAGAACCGCTGTCACTTCGAGGGAATTTGGGCTGGAGCCCACGGCGACATAAAGATCAAAGAGATCCTCATGCGGTTGTTGCTTGTGGAATACTGCGATCCATGAATTCAACCCGTCATGGAAGCGAATGCACGCCACATCCATGCCAACAGTAGATGGAGGACTGGAGATGCTGTTCAGTGCAGACGCTTGGAACGTCGCTGTGCCCAGTGCCAGGTTTCCAACGCTGTCGATGAGGCGGCTGGCAAGCGCTGGAAGAAGCCAGTCGTAAGCTAAGCGACTGTTCTGGTAGGAATTCAACGCCTGCAGCTGTGCAATTGACTTGCTCCGCAGCCTCTGATTGTTCGCCACGATGAGTGTGTTCCGTTGGTCTTCTATGCTCATGGCGGTCAATCCCGCGTGACCCGCTGGGTCCCGCGACAGGATCGACTCGACCAGGAGAGCATATGCGACCTCGTCAGTGCTGAGACTCTGTATGGATGATACCGGTGTGGAGCATCTTGGCTCCAAGTCACTGATGGCCGAATTCCGCAGCTCATCCTCGCTGTACTGGATGAGCTCGGGCATGGGCTTGCGGCCCAAGAAGAAAAGCACGTCCCTTGCAATGGAGGCATCGGTGTTTGTGGCAGTGTCTGCAGTTGAAGGCTCCTGCATGTTCGTTTGGAAAGTACAGGTTGCGTCGGTTGAGTCCTCACAGTTCGCACAGCCCGACAAGCCCAGACAAGCCCAAGGAGCAACGATAAGGGCGAAGAACAACTTTCTCATGGCTGTATGGGCTGAGTCAACAGACCGCCGAGCTTATAAGCAAAAGTAATGGGGTATTTTGACAAACAGAACTCCAACCACTTCCAACCTTACCTGCAAGCCGACAGAAAAGCCCACAGCGACTGGGGATTCAGCCTGAATGGGCCATCGACAGACCGATCACTGAATTCGGTACCGGCTGCTCAACAAAGCATATACTCATATGCTGCTGATCTCCACCGCTGGTAACTCTTCAACCGCCATATGGCCGCAGCATAACCAACACTACCGTTCCAGCCGGGGGCCCAACTTTGGCATGGTCACGGAGGCGCGCGATTTTGTTGCCTGCGCCAGGAGCAAAAAGAAATCTCATGCGAAGAGGCAGCAGTGAGCAACCGCGAGAGTGCAGAAAGTTTTCTAGTGGACTTGCTTTTCGGGGCTCAACAACTTCGTGTGCTAGGGATCACTGCGGTCAAACAACGTGAGAAAATCCGGACAAGCCAGAGCGAAGCAATCATCTAGCTCGACTCCTGCCCAGACCGACGAGACCCAGACCGCGGGTGAAACTCAAAGCTTGAAGCCATGGTGCGAGCTCATATCCATTCAATCAAACCGCCATTTTGTCCACTGAGCCCTGCCTCTCTTTCCGACAATCCACGCAGCATCCTCCTTTGCGATGAGGAGCCGCACAGGCACCTGGGAGCAAGGAGAAGAGCAGTGTTGAAGCCCTCGTGGTCAAGGTCAGGGCTTGGGGTTAGGAATGTTAAGAAATTCTGAAAAGCTTGGTATCTGGCATGGGGTCTTCAGGAACAACGCTCACGATCCCGTCTTCTGCACAGCTTCTCTGCCCGGCCTCTTTCTTGTCCCTGTCGCGCGCCGGGCGTGGCGCGCTGAAGAGGCTGGCTCCTGGACCTGCTCTGGGTCTGAAGGGTTGGGTTTAGGGTTTAGGGTTCAGGGCTTCAGGGTTTAGTCAGGGCACAGCTCGAGGTGGTAAGATCCTTGGCTTCTTGGGACTTTGAGATTCGGTTCTAAAAGTCTGATGGGAATTGGCTTCAAGCTGACTTTGTGGAGACCTTGAGATGAACATGCAGGACTTTTCACGTCAGGCTTGCAACACCGCTGCCCTTACTCTAAACCTACTCTAACCCCGTCAACAACAGCCCTAAGGCTTAAACATCAACAAACCAACTGACAAACTTCTTCGAGTCTTGTGGAGTCTTGTGGTTGACAAAGCTCGAGGAAGTCATGGGCAGGGTGTGGCAAAGAGAGGGAATCCTTTGACGTCCCATATCAGCAATACTCCAGGAGTATCCCATTGTATACTATTCCGCAAAACCCTGTTCTCATTGCTACGGCCGTAGGGTTTAGGGAGTGGGGGGGTTGAGAGATTCGAGTTTAGGGTTCGGGGAGCCTCAACCCCGATTGACTGCGAAAGATTGGAGGCCCTGCCACCCCGAAACCCTAAACCGGCTTAGGGTTTAAGGTTTCTAAAATCCTATAAATCCTAAACTCTGATCCCAAACCAACCCAAACAGTCAGCCCTTGCAGTTGAAAGCGAGGCTCGCGAAGCGGTAGACCCGGGCCTGCGCTAAAGCCACCGGATTCCCGAAGGTCGAAGTGCTCGGGAACTTTGAGGACCCCGCCTCAGAGGATCGCAGAGTTTGGGGGTTTAGAGCGCTTTTAGGGCTTAAGGGCTTAAGGGCTTAAGGGTTTAGGGCTTTAGGGTTTTAGGGCTTAAGGGTTTAAGAGTTTATAAAGGTTTAGGGTTTAGGGCCGCAAAGTCCTGTTAGACGTTCTGGTTTGGGCTTCGGGATGGTCGTTCTTTCCGGCGCCTCGTGGGAGACTTGCTCCCACCCGTACTAGATACTAGTGGCAGTGGCAGCAGTAGCAGCGGTAGCAGCAGCGAAACACTTGGTGTAGAACTATGACGAGTTGTGAGCGGCAGCAAGAGCAGCAGCAGGAATTGTCAGAAGCGCCGCGCAAAGCATCATGCTCGTGGCCGGGAAACTGAGGGAGTTTCCAGCTCCGAGCTTGGAAAACACTCCCTCTCAACACCATTACTGGAAGCAAGAGGTTGGATATCCGCCTTGGAGTTCACTCTCTGACAGCTTTCCAGCCCAGCAAAACACCTTTTGAGTGCAGCAGCCGTCTGTCGCTTCAGGCGTGTCCCGTCTTGGGACACACGAACTTCTCCCAGGAGAAGTGTTCTTCGGCCCCGTCACCATCGGAGCTGACAATGCGAATTTCATTGAAATTTTCGGGAATTTGACGCTGCCCAGGATGTTTTCAATCTCAGCAGCTTCCAAGAGGAAGCGAGGCTGAATGACTGGCTTGAGGTGCCGCCGAGCCACCACGGCCCTCTGGAGGCAGTAGAGCTTCCAGGGCTGTGTTGTGAACAATTGTTCACGTCCGTCCGCAGTGCGGGCCCTGAACACCACGATGGGGAACTCATGCCCCAAATAGCAGGCCTTGGCGTCAGCATTGACCTTCACCTGCTGCCAGACCCTGCTCAGCAGGATGTCCTTCGCGCGGCCTTCCGGCTGTTTGTCGCCCATCTCAACGCAGGCGTAGCCCACTGAGAATGGGCTGATTCGGCCCATCTCGGTGCCGACGGTGATGTCTTCTTTGCGCGGGAAGGCCGTCCAAATGCGCTCTGCAGTCGAAGAAGATGTCGGGGCTTCTTCCACAACTTCCACGGGCTCCGTTTCTTCAGTTTGAGGCGCCGGCTCTGGTGTCAAAGCAGTGGATGGCGCCTCCGTCGGCGGGGTGTCCGGGGCTTGGTGCCGAAGCCGTGGCTTCCAAGGTTTCGCTACATCGTTGACGGCCGTCGCGAAGAGATGCGAAGGAGCATGGGCGGACTTCTGACCTGCTATCGGCTATCAATAGATATCAGGCTGAATGGCTCCACCAGTACGACTCACACTGTAAATGGCCTGCCACACGCTCCTGCCGATTGTTCTCAGTGTCGCTGACATTGTGACCACCTGCACCTGGCAGCACGGTGTCACATGCCGCACCTGAAAACCCCTACGTTGCAAAGCACCTTGCTCAGCCCCGCCTCCATGCCATTTGCTTGAATCTTGCCATCCTGCAGGCAACTCTCAGCAGAAGGTTTTTCCGTGCATGCACAAGCGCAACAGCGACAACCTTGACTTCGACCATCGTGAGTTTGCCAAGCTTCGTGCCATTTACCTGCAAGCCGGGGCCAAGACATGCCCAAGTCCCACTTCACGCAGTCTCCCCAAGTCACGCTTACCTTTGCATGGAGCGCTCACCAAACGATATGACGGGGCCTGCATCTCTGTGGGCAGGGTTTCCTTGCCACCTTCCTTCGGAGAAGGCACTGCTTGCAGAGAGGATGAGAAACAGCCCAAGGCTGATGATGGCCTTCACCCTTGGCTGCAGATTCATACTTCCTGTAATTCTTGTAGCCATGCAGCCTGGACTCCAGTCAGTTGCCAGCTGCACCATTCAAGCCTAAGCAGTTAAAGCAAGCTGACGCCCGGCCTTCACCCTCGCCGGGTGAGGCTTGATAAGTCTTCGCTGGGTGTTGGCCATTCCACCGCCAGCCTACAGTTTTGGTTGAAGCTGCTGAAGCGATGTAAACTGAACCAAGCCCATCGTGTGTTTACCAGCCTGGCTCCTCTCTCCAGGACTGGTAGCTGCCTCCCGAGAACCAGCCCATCAAAAGCAATCATATGCCACCGCTACCTCACAACTTTGCTGATCACACCAGGCCTGACTCCTCCCAATCCTTCCACGTGGTTTTCCACTTGGACCAGCCGTCGTCTCACTTGGAGCCCACCATGGCGGCCCCCTTCAAAAAGAGGGGCCCCAGGGAATTACGAGTTCAAGACTCTAGAAGGCGTTGAGCTCGGCTGAGATGATCGGACAAGCCATCTCTTGCATAGAATGTGCGCAGCTCACGCATATCATAGTAAACTATACTATGTTCTATGATATTAGGTTGTAATATATTCTAGTATGTTATACTAGACTATACGATTCTATAAACTTACTGTATTACATTCTATTCTATTCTAGTCTATTCTATTTTATTCTACTCCACTCTACTCTACTCCACTCTGCTCTGCTCGGCTCTATTCTATTCTACTAGATACTGTTGTATTATGTTATGCTATATCATGATATACTCTAATATGATATATCAGGTGATACTGCATTATGATATACTATGGTATACTATACTATGCTACATGACATTTTTTTCATGCGAAGCTAAGGAGCCGGACCTGAGACCAGCTCCCCCAAGACCTCGAGGATCCTTCGACGAGCTGGGCTTTCATTAGGGTTTGGTTCATGTGCTCCGGAGGGGCTTCTTTGTGGAGGGTTTAGGGTTTAGGGCTTAGGGATGGGACCGGAATTTGATTCTGCTTCATGGGTGTGTTCAAGATGTGTAGAGGGACTCTGGGCTTCGACCGAAGCTTGGGTTCGATCTGCGCCGCACTGTGGCTTCTGGGACTTGGGGTTTCGGGGTTGGCTTCCGAAGATAATGCGTTGAGTCTGGAGTTTAGGAAGTCTGGGTCCTGGGCTTTCTGGGGCTCTCTCTTCAAAAGGATCTGATGAAATAAACCGAAACCCTAGACCCTAAACAGAATGCTCGTCTACGCTGAGACTCGTTTGATTTAGCTATCAGGCGGTCCTCTTCATCTTCCGAACCAACTCAAACCGCATGTTCATGTCCAAAAGAAGACAGTACTGATGCAAATAGCAAGCTAGTTGGTAGTTAGTAAGTCTTCTACTCTCATGTGCCTGCAGTGGAAGGGGTCAGGTAGGACTTTAGCATGCTTTGGTGGCCCTAAAGCCCTAAGCCCTAAGGTTCAAAACCTCCAAAAACCAGAGCCTAGAGCCCGGTCGACCTCCAAACCGCGGAGGAGGCTTCCTGGATGTTGCTGGCACTGATCCGAACCTGTCACCAGGAGTATAGTACGAAGCACCCCTAAACCCTAAGCCCGAAACGCTGGGTAGTATGAGCACAAGCCCTCGTCCTAACCCAACACCCTTTGTCCTTTTTTCGGTAGTCTGCTGAATACTGGTCTGAAAATGAGTCTGGGCATTAGTCTGTGGAGACACGTCCAACTCAAGGTCTCCAATTGCTACCACTGTGGTTGATATTCACGACAACACCCTGGAGGAGGGTTGGCACTGCTGTCCAGTGTCATCCTCTTGTTCCTCTGACTCTTGCTTACCACCTCTTCCTCCTGCAATGAACATGGCTGCTCTCACCACATGGTTGGTACAAATGTCGAATCCAGCATCATCATGGTTCATGGCAATATCGTGTGACTCTCCAGGTTCCCCAGTAACCCCTTAAGACGAAGGGTACAGTACCCTTTTCCTGGTTTGCGTATGGGGGAACCCAAAAAGTGAAAGGGCAAAGGGGCATTACTGGAAAACCTAGCTCCAGCGAGATTGCAATCTTTGCCTTCTTCTGCTCCAGGCCGCACACAGGGTCCTCGACCGGCAGTGTGGTGCTAAAGACTCGGCTGAGGCTTTAGGGGTTAGGGTTTGGGGTTTAGGGTTTTGGGTTTAGGGCTTAGGGCTCATCAAACTCAGCGTTTTGCAACATCTTTGCTCAGACTTCAGGCTTTCAGGAGTTCAGGCACTGCGGAAAGTCCTGGCCCACCCTGATGTCGCACTTTGTCTCCTGTCCCGGCATCAAACAACACGACTAGGTTCCTGACTAGCCCCTTGAGCTTGTTCCTACCATTTGGCTTTAAGAAGGGAGCCGGTTTTAATAAGGGAGCCCAAAAAGAAAAAGTGCAAAAGGGTACTACTGGGGGA